CTTACGCAACTATTCTAACGAACTTGGCCGCCTTTTTCAGAAACAATTATCCATTAATAACGATATATTATAAAAATTGTTCTTGATTTTTTAATTTCTGATATTTAATAAATGTATTTTTGTAAAACTTACACCCATTTCCGACTGAAACATAAGGTCCTACAAAAAAAATAATTTCGTTTATATTATAATTAAAACATATACGCAAGATATTTCCCATTAATAATTTTAAAAAATATGGGATGAAGAGACAGAGAAAATTTTCCGTATTTTGCTAAATCGGAAAAACGCATTTATGGTAACTACAACGCTATAGAGGTTTAACTACAAAAATTGCTTATATACAATTGATTACTCATAAATTGTATAATTTTGAAATTTAGATACATTGAATATTAATTTAATCCTTAAATAACATAATTATATTACGTTAAATTAACACTCGAATATTTAGTTATCTTGTATGTACAAATATATATACTCCTCACTTGTTAAATTTAATACGTATGCATTACTTGTAAAAAAAATAGTAAGTATTATTTTAGAGCTAATAAATATTTAAAAAAGGATAATTAAAAATATATGTTCTAAGTTTTCAGAATTAAAGTAATAAACTAATTACAATTAACAACAAAATGTGTAGTAATTTCTGTAAGTGAAGCAATGGTTATGCTGTAAGCATATGGTTTTATTCCCTTTTGTGTATTTCAGAAATAAATAATCATAATATAGAAATATATCATATAGAAGTACGATATAATACGTAGAATTAAAATTTATATTTGTTTAATTTAAGATAATATGATATATATGTATATATAAATATATATATACATATATATATTTTATTTTTGTAGTCCATATTTTAGAGAGTCTAATATTTTCTCATTTTAAGTGCAACTTGTTTTTACGCAACTATTCTAACGAACTTGGCCGCCTTTTTCAGAAACAATTATCCATTAATAACGATATATTATAAAAATTTTTCTTGATTTTTTAATATCTAATATTTAATAAATGTATTTTTGGAAAACTTACCTTATTTATCATCTCAACCGCAATTTTCTATAAAAAAATAATAATTCCATTTATATTATAACTAAAACATATACGCAAGATATTTCCGATTAATAATTTTAAGATATATGAGATGAAGAGACAGAGAAAATTTTCCGTTTTTTGCTAAATCGGAAAAACGCATTTAACTACAACGCTATAGAGGTTTAACTACAAAAATTGCTTATATACAATTGATTACTCATAAATTGTATAATTTTGAAATTAAGACACATTGAATATTAATTTAATCCATAAATAACATAATTATATTACGTTAAATTAACACTCGAATATTTAGTTATCTTGTATGTACAAATATATATATTCCTCACTTGTTAAATTTAATACATATGCATTACTTGTAAAAAATATAGTAAGTATTATTTTAGAGCTAATAAATATTTAAAAAAGGATAATTAAAAATACATGTTCTAAGTTTTCAGATTAAAAGTAATAAAATAATTACAATTAACAACAAAACGTGTAATAATTTCTGTAAATGAAACAATGCTTATGCTGTAAGCATATGGTTTTATTCCCTTTTGTGTATTTCAGAAATAAATAAACATAATATAGAAATATATCATATAGAAGTACGATATAATACGTAGAATTAAAATTTATATTTGTTTAATTTAAGATAATATGATATATATGTTTATATAAATATATATATATACATATATATATACATATATATATGTTATTTTTGTAGTCCATATTTTAGAGAGTCTAATAATTTCTCATTTTAAGTGCAATTTGTTTTTACGCAACTATTCTAACGAACTTGGCCGCCTTTTTCAGAAACAATTATCCATTAATAACGATATATTATAAAAATTGTTCTTGATTTTTTAATATCTAATATTTAATAAATGTATTTTTGGAAAACTTACCCTCTGTTCCTCATAATCGAAAGGTTCCTATAAAAAAAAATAATTCCGTTTATATTATAACTAAAACATATACGCAAGATATTTCCGATTAATAATTTTAAGATATATGAGATGAAGAGACAGAGAAAATTTTCCGTATTTTGCTAAATCGGAAAAACGCATTTAACTACAACGCTATAGAGGTTTAACTATAAAAATTGCTTACATCAAATGATTCATTCAATGATAGAGGGTCCTCCGTAGTTAAGGTCAATTCTGGAGAAAACTGAGGTTTTACTTCCGCTTTGGATGCATCCATGATCGCCATAAGGAAAATTATAGCAAGAACCAATACTGATAGATATGGCATTCCCATTTTTAAATATTTATTGAAGTTCAAGTTATTTTCACCTCTACGTACGTTTCTGATTTGTCGGCGACGTGTAGAGCTTATATAGCACAAAAAATGTAATCGAGTCGTGATTTTCGTATCTAACACGGAAGTACTTACATTTTATATTGCATAATGCTCAATTTATGTACATAAATATTACATGCATAATCAAAACATTGTTATCTTATACGGGAAAAATATGATATATAAAAATAAATAATATAAGAAATTTTCAAATTATATACACAAAATTATTAAATTGTACAACATGGCACGCTACGTATGTAGGTTTTTTATAGTTTTAAAATAATATTATTTTTAAATATAATATGTACATTATACTTAAAAATTACGTAATTTTAAAACTAAAAATAAAAATAAAATAAATAAATAAATAAATAAATAAAAAACAACATTGCTACTTCTAGATGATAAAATCGTGTCATTTAAGTCAGCATTACTATCTTTCGAGTAAATAGATGCATTGGGTTTGTTTCTTTAGCCATTTATTACATAAATTTCTACATTTAGGTATTATAGTGTTATTCCGTCGTATACAACTTTAATATGGATTGAAAAATTTAGTGATGAGACCAATATTGCTGTTGATTTTTCTTTAATGGAAATTTTAATAACCATTATTCATTATAACTTGGAAGCGATAATAATTGATAATATCAATGCGAATTGCGAAAACAATTGTATGTCTGAAAAAGAACATTGTTCGTGCAACCTTCGCAGAGCAAGAATTATTTCACTGATTCATAAATTCGGAATTTGAATTGCATTAGATCTGTTCTATTTAGTTAAATTTTTGCACCAGTTCATCTTTCTTCCTTTTATCATCAGAAGGAAAGAAGAAGAATAAAAATGAACTGATGCAAAAGTTCAACCAAAAAGAAGGACTATTATTAAATTTGTAGTGTCAAATTTGAACTGATTTAAACTGCTGTTCCTCAATATTGTCATTATTTTATACTAATACGAAGTCATTATACAATTTAAAAATTGAATTAAATTTGATGTTATAGATTTATCTGTTAAATTTAACTCAATTTGAATATTGTTTTCCAATTGAATCTAACTGAATTCAATTGAATCCAAATAAAGTTTTCGCTATTCAAAATATGTATTTGGATGGATAAAATTTCATTCCATTTCAATCTGTTGTTGTTTTTTGGGAACATATTTGGAGAGAGAGAGAGAGGGAAAATTATGTTTTTCCCGTTTTTACATTTTTATTTATACGCAGCACGTTCAACAACCTACAAAAAGTAATAGGTTTAAAAAATCTAACGTATACGTATAAATTACATGTATAACTCTCTGTTAATACAATTTATTCGTACAATATTGGCCCTGTATTAATTCAATATATCCTGAATATTTAATCAGTTATTGTTAATAAATCGCTACTAGGAAAGATAGGGTAACTCCGGTAAATACGCCGCACCTATCAAAAATTTAATTTATTAAGTATTATTTAGTATGTGTTTAGTAAACGAATTATATCAGTAAAAACTTTGTACTGTCTACTACTATGAAAAAAATATTAGAAATCCGAAATATTTATTTTTCATATTAAAAAATAAACTTTTTGAAACCTTATACTTTTGCTGCATATCCCATAGGGATGGGATATATGGCTACTCATAGAAGGAGAGGGGAGGTATGTACGGCTTATGAAAAATTTACAAATAATGCATATAAATAAAACGCGTATGATGACACATTAACTTATAAAATGTGTTTATAAAGTTTTATGAAGGAATAAGAATGGTAAATATGTATAAGAAGTAATAAATAAAAATTACAATCTCTTTACAATCTTCCTACATATATTACAAGTGTTAATGATCTTGAAAATGATCTTGTCGGCAATTTTCATAATCATATTTGTAATTAGGGCATCAAAATACAGTAGTATGTCAAGCGACAAGAAAATTGGGGGTTCACCTTTTCAAAAGTCTATCCTACGTTTTTATTAATATATGTATAATAATGACACCTTCTCGTCCATATACTTACAACGGTGACTGAGGATGTGAATTCCAGCTTAAACTACAAAAAAAAATTTTTCGTTTATATATAAAATAAGAAAAATTCTGCAATAGAGTATAAGATTTAATTATAAAATGACTAATGCTTATAACATCTAATGTTTCTTTCGGATTGGTCTTACCGATTGCATTAGCTCTAGGAAAGGTGTTTGCTTCTTCCCCGAATGCGTGCATAATCGTCGTAACAAAAATTATATCAAAAGTTATCGATAAATAAAGCAATCGCGTCTTGTATTATTTACTAAAGTTTAAGAAATATTAATATGTACGTTTGTGATTTATTGCAGACGTGTAGCCCAAGAAATGCAGTTAAGATATTGTTTTCGAGTCTAACAGGTACCTACATTTTCTTATATCTTTATACATTTATTGCAGATATACAAATATCATATTTTGAATCATGAAAACATGTTCATTTTATGCACGAAATATATAAAGTTAATAAAACGATAAAACGAAGACTATAAACCTGAAATAATCCCGACGATAATGATTAATATTAAAGTATGACTCAAATACATATATGGGTGGTACATGTGTCAGTTTTAAAAGTATAGTATAAACAATAGAAAAACTGTTTTATGAAGAGATAAAGTTGTGTCCTTCAAATCGAAATGTTCGTCTGGGTGGATAGATATGTATTTGTTTTTGATACTAACTCACTATATTTTCTGTTGATTATAGCGTCGTTTCGTTTTATGTAATTTTAATGGATAAAAATAAAGATAGAGGCTTAGCCACTTCCAGAAGCCTCGATCTATGTTGTTATGTGTGTTAAATATTTTTAAAATATAAAGTTTTTATTTAATTTTCCTTACCAACATTTAAATACAATGACTTTCTATAATTATTTAGTAATTAAATATTAATCAACGCAATAAATATTCTTGATCAACTAAATATGTCGAAGTATTTATTTAAAACACTGGTTTTTGAATAATATTGTTTTAATGCTGTTACGTATTATCGAATCGAATAAAACCCAAGTATTCAATTCAATTCAAAGTAATTTTAATTTTTCTTCAAGGATATTCTTATTGAAGGTCGTCTTATTCCAATCCAAGTAATGACAACTTTAATTCTTTGTAAAAAATTAATACTCTTCGAAAAAAATTAATATATCAAATGAAAAATTAAAACCTAGATGCTGCAACCTTAACTAATCAAGTTAAATTCCATCAAATTAAAAAGTAAAACATAAATGGTATTGTTTCTTGTTATTTATACAAATTTACCTTTTTAAAAATAGGTAAAAAAAAACGCTAAGCGTGCGTGCTTTTCGTAAAGAATCATTCGGGCCGGTTTCATCATGTTTGCTGTTTAGTAGAACTGACCACTTATGCTTGACAGTCAATCACCAATTCGACTTAATCGAGTTGGTTTCTATATACATTGTGAATTTATATATACAGTTGATTTTGTAAACTGCGCCCCGAAATCTTTTTTAATCTTGAAACACAATTGTGAGTATAGAATCAAAAAGTAGTAAAATTATTTATTATATTGATAAACAATTTAATAATTTTTAATGCAAATAAGCATCTTTATAAGAATATTAATAATTAAATATTAATGAAAATCTTACACATCTGCAAATAATTAATATCCTCAGATTAAGAAGAATATTTAAATTAAAAAATTTTTTTTTTGAAAATTAATACTTTTTATTTCCAAGATAATTTCCAGTTTGATTTGACTATTTTTGCAAGACATTGATACAAATTTTTTTTACCGAGAACTGTATCAGAGTCGACGTTGATTAGTTTAAACTGTTTAAAGTGTCGCCGGTTGCGTCTCGCACGGTATACCGGTGGGGAAAACATCACGGTTGTATACGAGATGAGAGAAGACAAGTCGGCTTGACAGCTGGCGGTGACGAGAGATCCGGTTCACACGATGTTTCGAATCTCCCTCCCTCCTCTCGTCTTTGCGAGAAGTTTCAGAAGTTTCGCGAAGAAAGGCGTAGTCTTCTTGACGTTGTTCTCGCGCTTTTGTTTATCCGTTGCATAAATGCAGAAGACTCTGAAACGCAACTTTTTTCCCTCCGCATCCTTCTATGTATCACGATACACACTCATACACTTCTGTAATCGTGGCGTTCACAGATGTGAATCGGTAATGCTAGTTTAGTGTAGAAGTAACAGGGCTAGTAAACAGAGACCCTGTGTCCATTCATTCCTCTTCTTTGGTGACCCACATTCGTAGAAGTATTACATATCCTTTTTTGCATTCTTCCTTTTTCTTGTCGCGATCAGCCTTGCCATTAATTGTCCTTGTTACATTTGTCATTAAACATGTAAAATTATTTAAAATTTCGAGAATTTCAGATTTCAAATCGAGAAAATTAAGATTCTCGAAAATTGATGAATTAGCAAGCAAGTTGCACTGTCTAAAATTCCAAGAATTTTTCAAAAATTCTAAAAATCGCGATTCCGAAAATTAGTATTTTGAACCGCAAAAATCTCAATTTTTGAAGATCAATAAACTGTTGTGAAATATAATTAGAAACAATATAAAGTCGTATACATAAATTACAATTCCAAGCATTTCAATTTATTATTTCTTTATTAAAAAAAAAATTATTTTCTTCCTTTTATTTACGTTATAAGTAAAAATACTATAATAATAAATTAAAATATGATAGATAATTATTACTTACATTACAAATTATAAATTTTTGCGTAAATCATAAACTTTTTTCTTCGTTTCTTGCACAACTTTCGCGATAGATTCCTATTTTGCTTTTTGCTAGCTCTTTTTCTCACGCGAACCAATCGGCGCGCAAGTCAAGGAGGAAATAGACGATACGACGGTGACGACTGGCGTCCCGACGCTTTGCGTCGACGTTAGATTCCATTTACCCTTCCGCTCGCGGCGTCGCGTCGTGGTGCTCCTTTTCGCGGCACGTCCGTCGCTCTCGTCTACGTGCAACTTGACAGCCATAAAGACGGG